GCCATTTTTAATGAAAAAAAATTGTTTACTTTAAGAAAGCTTCTCTTTAGTATTCTACACCTTTTAGTTACTCTAAATTATATAATATTTATTATTTTTTCTTGATTTTTATTAAAATTGCAGTCGATGCTGAAGCAAAAATATTTCCTTGGGAATTTTTGAAAGGCTGTATCTCCTCGGAAAATGGCCGGATTTAGATTCAAATTTTTTTAATTTTTAGGCTTCAAGTTTCTAGTTTTGGGATTTTTTAGCATTTTTTTTCTATGCAAGAAATAGGGCAAAGAAAAATTGTAAATATTGTGTTTTTGGTCCACAGAATGTTTTTGAAATTAAATTATTTTAAGATCCTTTTGCGATTATTTTTCAAAAAAAAAATCGTAAAAGGATCTTGAAAATATTTATTCGAGTTTTTGACACTACATTTACATTCTCTGTGCGGTCATTGGTTGCTGAGATATCGATGACCAAAGATAAAAGGATTTTTTTTCATTTTATGTCAGATATCTCAGCAACAAATTTACATAAAGAGAATATAAAAAAAGCATATTAAAGCTAAATGAACAGGTTATCCGCCCCATGTATTGATTTACTCGTAACTAAAAAAAAAATTCCCAAGTCTGTGAACCAAAAACAAAAACAAAAATATTTACAATTTTTTTACTCGCGTTGTTTCTTAAGACTGCGTGATAACCGTTGCACAGAAAAAAAATTGTTACAAGATCTCAAAACTAGAAACTTATAGCTTCAAGGTGTTTTTTTTTAATACAGATACGACCATTTTTTGATGAGATACAGTCTTTCAAAAATCACCAAAAAAATTTGAAAGAATTTTTGTTTCTTTAATTTTTTGGAATAGTTTATTTTGAAATTGTAGCAAAAACATGGTCAGATAATTAATTTTTAATTTTTTTAATGAATGTTTCTGCTTTTAGAAATAGTGAGTAGTGCATTTTAAGGCATAGTTAGCAAAATGTTCATAAAAAAATAAACATTTTAACGAAAAATTGAAAATACAGTGATTCACCTGTGGTAAGCTCTACTACATAAATTGAGGGAGCAACAAAATTTGTATTATTAGAGTATTATTATTATTCAAATTGAAAGCATAATTTTAAGAATGAAATTATTTTCGCCCAAAATCTACACAAGTTTTTAATTTGCTTTGAATTCTCTACTCCAAGGCAGTTATTCTTGTGGAATGCTATTACTTTTTGGATAAATTATTTGCCGGTGTGAATTGATTGTGTTCTGTCGGAGTGGAAAATGCGTTCATTTAAATGGATGTAGTTTTGACAAGTCACGTGGGAAAAATTCGCCTTTGGCAGCGGCTAGAAAAGTAATTCAAGTAGCGATCTCGGCCCCCACTGAAGTTTTCCCTCAGTCTCGTCTAGGCGTATTATCTTAATCGATTGTGGTATATGTAAGAAGAGTGTTCAAGGAGGCGTCGGCGTCCAACCCCTGCAGTAACACGTTGACAAAGCCATTTGCGGCCTACATAAACATTGGCGATTTTTAATCTCGATAGTGGTTCTTTTTGACGGTATATCCACCGTCGGTCGCTCAACGAGCAGTCTGGCCGATTGCCCGAAGAGCTTTCACTTACTAGGTTGCGGCCCCCACCCCCTTAACCGACGCTGGCGGCGCCATCTTCACTGGCGCCACGGACAGGCCGGCAACCGTCCTTACTTTTTACTACAGTTCGCTTCGACAAAAGAAAGAAAAACTACCCATTATTGCCTACAGTTATCTTAAGAAGCCACAATAAAACTGTCGTTTAAAAAGTAAGGCTGTCATTAATAACAATTGCTCTGTATCAATTTATGTGCGGTCCGAATTAGGTAGCGACGATAAAATCTTCAGATAACTTCAGGACATTTCGCGTTTGCTATGAAATAGATAAAAAACTTTTAATATTAAGGGGAGGATCACTGCCTCCAATTTCGACCGTTTACAGGTTTTCGAGGGACGACCCCCGATACTGAAATGCACCGATTCGACATTTCAAAATGTATTTCTATCATTTGCTTTGTTTAACTTTTAATTTTTATTTCTTATATATTCGAAAAACCGAATGAAAGAATATAATTTTTTGTTCACAAAAGAAGCTTACTGAAATTTGTAAAAGTCTAGACTCACATTGTAAAAATACATTATATCTGATGGTTTGCCTAATTTCACATAAAAAAGAGTGATTTTTTGTCTTAAAAAATAAATAACTAAATACAGGGTGATTTTTAAAGTTGTTTAGAAATTTCAAATAATTCAACTTGTCACATCCGAATGTTTATAGTTTCTGAAATATAGAAGGTACAACCTGCATTTTAACATTGGAAAATTTGTCAAAAAACGCATTATAACCGAAGATTTAAGTACTTTGATAACAGAGTTTACGTTACTAATAGTCGATGACATTTGAGGCAATGAAATTCGGTGGTATTCTACGAAAACATTTAATGCAAAATTTTTATCTTTTTATTGTTTTCTTTTGAAACCATTTTTTCTGAGGCTGTTTTTGCTAATTTTTTTAACACTGTTTTCAAAGAACTAGTTTCAGAAATCATTTTTATTTACAATTTAAATTTATTCTAAGACTCTCAGTATCTCAGAAGCTATAAAGATTCGGATAGGGCAAGTTGAGTAATTTTTGCATTTTTTGTTTTTTTTTCTATCACCACTTAAAATTTCAATTTCAACTAAAGTCACCCTGTGTATTTTTTTAATGTAATGTATGTTGATACGTTGATGGGTCACTGATTATACATAGGCAACCAATATTACAAATTTTCGATAATCATAAAAATAAATATTAATGTAATATTAATTTTGATCAATTCAAAATACTTATACCAAGTGCTCAAAGTGCCTTGCTATGTAGTATATTAGTAAAAAATTCGCGTACAGGGTGAATTAAAATATGGAACCAAGCGGTTTTTTTTAATCATTTGCCTGCCTAAAATAATTAATATAAATTAAAGTAATATAAAAAATAAGGTCGTATTTTGAGAACGAAATTTTGTGTTGTTTTTGAGTTATGCCATTTTTTTTGTCAAAATTGCAATTTATGTAAAAAAAATCTGAAAAAATCAATTATGAAGTAGTTAGTTGTAATACTTGGATCATAACCTTTATGAGAAAAATAGTTTTTTTTTTAAATAAAAAAAGAAAATTTCGAAAAATTTTATTTTTGATAAAACATCACATTTTTATAGTACTTTATCATTCATCAATTAGTTTTTCCAAAAAATAAATAGTTTAAGCAAAAAACGTTTAGTTTCATACTTTTTCTTCACACCTGGTATGTATGATTGTAATCAGCAAATTTTAAATTTATCATTTTAGAGATTGAAGTACAAATATGTAAGAATTTACAAAATAGTAACAAAAAATTGGAACAAAAGTGTTTTTCTACGAATATGCATGTCCGAATTTAAAAATAAGATCCCTGAACCAATTCTGAATTCAATTCCTTGTTTGAATAGAAGTAACTTTTTTTTTTGGTGGAATGTGCATCCTTTCTAGAATCCTTTTTTTTTTGGAAAAAATATTTATCTTTAGTAATATCTACAGGAAGCGAGTTTGTGCATAAAAAAAATTGGGCCAAGGTACTTGATATTTTTGGAAATTGTCCACTTAATTGCTAGATGTTTAAACTGTTTTATCATAATAAATTGTTGGGTCAAATTTGTTTACGGGATCATATTATTGATTTTGGCAACCTATAAACAAACCTATTTGAATAATAATTACATATTGTACTAAACTTGCGTGGTTTAGGTAATTAATAAGTACGCTGTTTAAAAAATCAAAATAGAGTTCTAGGTCGGTGCCGAAAGTTCGAATACTAGAAAAAAAGTTGTTGTAATCGTGAATAAAAATGTTACGTTATTCGTTTAACTAATTTTGTTTGTTCACCTAATGGTCAAAATAAGATATATCAAAATTATTTTTCCATTTTAAAGAATCGTGTCATGTTAGGTGGTTATTAGTAACACTTATGTACTTTCCCTGATTTCCTTGTAATTTTCTGTAGGTAATAATAATTTGTTCATGGACGAAGGGTAATTCTAGTAATCATGTGTTTTAACTAAATCATCACTTAACCAACTTGTCATACGCTGATTTATTTCTTAAATTTTAACTAATTACTATTTATAACAAGCAAAAATTCGTTGGTGTTTAATTTACATAAATGTAATCGGAAAACTTTGCGACCGCTTAATCAGTAATTTCGTTTTATGAAGAAAAAAGTGCAAGTGAGTTTGCTGAACGTTATTTAAAACGACTTTTTAATTTCTCTGTAATACTTCTAAATAAAACATTTCGTTCTTAATTCATGAAAATCTGTCACCGTCCCGGTGGAGTAAACATTAATCAAATTGTGGAAGTTTTATTTTAAGACATATTGAATGCAAATTTATGCAAGAGTCAGTCGTAAAACAGAAATTTGGCTAGAAAACATTTTAAGAGTGATACAGACAGCTGACATATTCCGTCATACATAAAGCGAAATGAAGAATTTTCACCTGAGATATTTAAAAATGTTTCGCGAAATGAACACTATGTAGATTAGGTTTATTTTCTGCTTTTATTTTACGTCATAGGGATACTTGTTGCACTAGATCGTGCCAAAGTCAAGTAAAACGCTGCGAAATCCTTGCAAATGCAGTCGTGAGTGAAAATAAATATTTCAGATTGGATGGAAGAGGCGTCCGTTTAGGTTGGCGCGTGTTTTTTATTAAGTTTAGCGAGCTTTTTACAAAACAATAAAATTAGTGGTATTTTCTCAGTTCAATACGGCGGCACGCGATGATGCTCCCCGTCTAAAGATCAGAGATTACGATAGAGCTTGTAGCGTGCTTTACGCTCATTTTCTCGGATTATAGTCGTAAAGTAGGTGCCGGCATTCAAATAATGCACATTTTGCGACGTTCATTGCCGCAATTTGATGTATTTTTTGCGTTTGTTCGAGCGAATTTTAATAATGTTTTGTTCTGTTGCAGATTAACGGAAGCTTTTCAGCGAGCATCGAGTCTAGTTCAAGTTGATAGTCTCACCCCGCCGCCGTTTTATCTGTTGTGCAACCGTTGACAATGTAATCTTGTTATAATGATCTCGTGTTATGCTCATTAATAATTGTTTGTACAGATATATGCTTTTTATGTCTAAAAATTAACAATTTTTGCAATTCTTAAGTTGCATCCAATTCTCGTTTCACTGGTGCCATTTAACATTTAAGTTCATTGATGCCAATTGTTATTATGGTTAGGGATTTATGTTCGGAAACGGTCTAGCTTGGCAGCTCAATATTCTCGGAGACAAAGAACATTTTGTGTTTTTTTCGATTACATAGGAAATTTTTTAAATTTGTAATTTATATTCTAAGGCCACATTTTAATTATGAGGAATAATGTAATATAAGAGTTAATATAATTAATGAAGCAGCATTGCGAAGTGTTAATATCGTCGACGTTGTATATAGTGTTAGATTTAGGTGCTTTGCGTACCTTTGTTGAGTTATTTTTATTTTTATTAATTTTTATAATTCATTGTCATTTTATTCTCGTCATGTCGGTACTGGTCATAAAATCTACATTTTATTGCCAAGTAGGCATTAAGTTCATCGTCATTTTTAGAATAATTTTTTACTGTAATATTTGTAAAGTGTTTGATGTATGATTGTACTATTAAATCAATGTTTTTGACGCTTATTTCAATTTATAAACAATTAGTTGAATTTTTTAAGTTGGGTAAATGTTGCGTTGACAACTTAGTTACTTATGCCTATAATTGAATATGTATTGATGTGTATAATTTACGAAGAGGCGAAATGTAGATGCAATTTCATATTAGCTCGGGTCGGTCTTTGTGAACATAGGTCTCATGTACATTTTTCATTAAAGAAATTATTTATACTTAGAAATTAATTTTTAGGCATTCTAACGTTGTATGCGTTAAGACATAGTCAATTATAATTTTTAAAACGCTACTTGTCAATTTTCACAATATTGTGTACCTACCTGTGTATGTAAAACACTCAACGCAAAGTGTATATTTTTGGAGTTTGTTTCAACATGAAAATAGATATTGTGCATATCTATGGTTTAGTTTGTCCACAAAACACTGTACTTACATATGCACATGCACATGCAGTGAGTGTACAGTGATAGCCGCTATGTCAGGTGCCTCAATTTTCTTTAAATTCGTTAATATATTATTATAAATACTAATTTTAAGAAAATTATTATATATTATAAATTCACATATTGCTGTTTCACAAAAATAAATGAAAAAAAACACACAAGTTTTTCATTTCATCTACATCTCTCACATGGGGTAAGTATTGCATGGCGAAATTTTCTTGGCAGTTGAGGTGCGCACAAAGACAAATATTTCTACTACTGCGCACCTTTGGCGGAGCTGTAATTAGTTTTCTATTCAAAGTAGACATCTTAAATATAATATTTTGACGGAAACATATGTAAAATGTTCCGGGGACGCGATTGGCGTCAAGAAAACTGCAAAATTTATAATAATTTTGAAGTTATAGTCGAATTTATATTTTCGATATTTTTGATTTTATGAGAAATTTTCTCGATAARTATTTATCGTAGAACACTGATATTTTTGTATATGAGAGAAGGTTAAATTTTCTTTCCAACGGTACTAAACATAAGAGGTTGTCGCCAATAAGTCCGGAGTTATTGTCAATAGACCGATCCAAAAATTTAACGTTTTTTACATTTCTAGAGGTCTTAAAGACTCAAATAAATGCATAAAACGCCATTGGGWCAAGTTTCAAAAATTTTGAATTTTTGAAGATGAGCGGTAGTAAAATCGTAAAAATAGTCAATTTACCAGTTGTAAAAACGCTTGAAATATGGTTTTCTAGACGTAAAATTCCGCGCTTAACACGATGCAACAAATTAAAATCCTCTACGACGCATAGTTTTTGAGATATTGAGTAATAAAGTTAAGAATAAGGCTAGAAACATCCGATTTTGACCAAAAAATCAAAAAGTCAAAAAATATTTTTGACTTTATCAGAAATTTTCTCGATAACTATTTATCGTAGAGCACTGATCTTTCTTGTATATGATGAAAATTAAATTTTCTTTTCAACGGTACCAAATATAAGAAGTTATCTCTAATAAGTCCGCATTTATTGGCATTAGACCGCTCCGCGTACCGAAAATCGCCCAAAATTTCGACGAAAATCGAAAAAATTAAAAACTTCAAAATTGTCCATTTGCACTCTTGGGGGTTCAAAAGACTTAATAAAGCACAAAAACATTGTAAAAATGCGAAAAATAAATTTTTGAAAAATTTTGTGTAAAATATATTGAAAATACATTGAAATTGTCGGCAGCGGCATAAGGTCCCGCTTTCCAGCAGGTAGGTCCCGAGTTCGAGCCCCGGTCAAGTCGGCAATTTTTCACAAATTCACAAATATAATTGAAATAAAAGTCAAAAGAGGGCAGGCGCATAAGAGCGCGTTCTTTAAAAACATGTGCACATGTTCTAATAAGTATAAGAGAGAAAGCGCACAATACTAACTAAAATAAGCACCAATAGATGGCGGGCGTATAAGAGCGCGAACTTTAAAACAAGTATCTACAAAAGTGAAAATAGTGTAAAAAGTTAATAGTATACAAATAAGTAAACAAAAGGTAAGTTAAAAGTAATAAAAATGAAAYGTAAGTTTTGCATTAAAAATTAAGAATTTTTTTTATTAATTATTGTTATTATAAACATAGGTCCGCAAAGTAACAGAATATTTTTTAACACCCTGTACAATTATAAATAAGTGCGCATTTTTTTTTACAAAGATAAACACCCCCTAAACTCTATCTTTTCCTGCGCCACTGGTCTTTCAATTAATTTGGAGTAATAATAATAGAATTATTCTAAAACAATTATCACAAATTTTCTCGATAACTATTCATCATAGAGCACTGATCTTTTTTTATGTACGATAGAAAATTAAATTTTCTATCTAACGGTACCAAATATAAGAGGTTATCTCCAATAAGTCCGGAGTTATTGCCAATAGACCAAAATCTCTCTTAAAGACTCAAATAAGTGCATAAAACGCCATTGGGTCCAGTTTTTTTTTTTTAATTTTTGAAGATGAGCGAGGTAGTAAAATCGAAAAAATAGTTACTTTACCTTAAGTCGTAAAAACGCTTAAATTATGGTTTTCTAGAATTTAGAATGCTCTACGATGAGTAGATTTTGAGATATTGAGTAATAAAGTTTAAAATAGGGCTATAAAAAAGGTATAGAAATAATAGGCTCTTCAAATCCCTTTAAACCGATTTCGTATTTTTCGAAAACTACTGTTTTTATCTATTTTCAAAATTAAAAATTTACTTTTGTTATCAAGTCGGAAAATTTGGGTTTGAGGATTTTTTTCTTTTGTTGTAAATAAATATTACAATTTTATAAACAATTAAGCCATAGCTTTAGTTGTTCATAAAGTGTTATTGGTGTTATTTTTCTGTAGAAAGAAAGGGGAGATCGTGTTTAATGAATTGTGTGGTAACTTAATTATATTTTAAAAATTGGTTTTGAGTTTGAGGAAGAAAAATTATTGAAAGTTGGTGTTCTGAAAGAGGCGTCTTAAAAATATGTGCATTTCACGTCGGGGGAATGTTAATTAGATTAATCATTTGTTTTTGCGGGAATATTCCGGATCAGCGATCTTAAATATTGTGGATAAATCACTTTACTTTATGAACGAGTGGTAAAAAAATTCCGCAAGTTTTCAATTAGCCGATTAATTAAACGACGCGYAGCTTTCGGCTAATGTCCGCGTTAATTCTTTTCAGTGCTCAGCATCCGTTACTGAACTGGGAACAAAGCCTTCGCCCGCCATTGTACCGGAAGTGACGCTGACTGATGATTCCCGGCAAGCAGTTTGAAAAGAATTACGCTCAAAGAATAAGCAGATGGATGGATCTCCGATGGGTGCAATAGTGCTTCTGCAGCAGCCTTTTTGCAAGCCAGGAAAGACGATGAAATATTGTACTCTTGTATCTACGCTAATGGCGCGTTTGCCTCAGATTTATATATCGTTTCAGATTTCAGATTTAAAATCAATTTCAAATACCATTGTGAAAATCGCTCCCTGCTCTTTCAGCGAACAAGGTGGAATGGCGGAAAAAATTCCACTGTCCACTCCATCAAACGTATCAATAAACAGTTACAAAAAGGACGAGCCAAGTTTATAATAAACGAGCACAGTTTTCGCAATAGAAATATAATAAAACGTTATTCTTGACAAAACGGTCTTAAAGTACCGATATTTCAGGTTGCAGTTTTGCTGATATGAAACTTTTCGCATGGTCCACGCTTTTATCTTAGTTTATCAGCTTTAGAAAATACTCTAACGACTTCGATTCCGACACAAACTTAAATCTTTCCTGTCGACCACCAAATTTATTAAAAGAAATTTAATTCAGGTAGTCGGGATTGAAGAGTGGTGCTTTTGGTGGTCGGACGGTATGGAAATTGAGTTTGAGGGATTTCTTAATTAAATTTGTCTCGCATAATTCTCTATTTTTTCCCCAGTCTTTCCGGCCGTTAGTCTCTCTTTTCTTTTTCTTTTATTTCAAAAGTAACTTCCCTTGACTCGAACTTCTCGCCTGTAATGACGAATTGCATCAGCATAACGAGTTTGCCAAGAAAATTATTAAACAGCCAACTAGTTAAGAAATAATTCTTAATCAGACTGCTTCTTATAATAGGTACATATTTTTCATTAGTTTTGACCCAGAGATGCGTTCCTATTTTTGCAAGTTTCAACCAAATAACATTAATAAGTTTTGCCAATCTATCCAAAAGCTTTTACCTGTAGAAATAGATAAAACTACAAATTTATGGCAGTCAACAATATAAACATAACATCAGATCACAAGATTTGCTATAACTAAGAAACTTTATGCGCAAATATATTTCAAAGTTTTGTCAGGAGCGAAAGGATGACGGAGCTTTCACGAGCTAAAACGTCTCGTTTCTTATAATCGAATATAATAACAACACATGAAACATTTTATTTAAGTCGCTTTAAGTCACTAAAGTATCAAAATATCAAGTATAAATTTCTTAGGAACTAGTGGAATTTAGTTAAAAAAACCGTTATGAGTTTCCAATTAGCTCATGAAGCGTGCTTCACTTTAGTCCTCGTTTGTGTCGCTGAAAATTAAGCATAAATTTAATCATTTTGTATGAGTGAGGAGTCGAAACAATTTAATGAAGTAAAAGTGGCTGCATCTTAATTCGGAGCTTTTCTCTTCTAACTTTTTCTCATTCAACTACATTTTCTGCTTTTAATGTAAAAATATTAAAGTTTGACTTGTGCAACTCTAAATGAAATTGAGTCTGTCGCCGACTTCGTCAAAACTCGGAACTTTTAATCCAACACCTTTTCAAATAGAGAGGATCTTATACCAAATTATGCCGTATAAAAAAAGTTTTTCAATGATAACAGTTAAACGGATCATTTTTAAATGTGTCTTGTTTAAATTGGAAATTAAAATTGGTTTAACCTATCCTTCAAGGTTAATTCTATTGTTATTGTTTTGGGCTGTTTACTATAAACAATGCTCAAATTTTATTTTTGTATTTTTTTAATTTTGTAATTTACGTTACAAAATCTACATCAACCTTCTATACTAAACAAATTCCCTCACTCACCCTACAGTTTTTTGCGTTTATGGTTATAAAGTATTTGAATATTTTGGTAAAAAAATCCTCAAAGTATTTGTTTGGAAAATGGGCTGATTTTATAATTTGGACTAAAGTCCAAAATCTTTAGTGTGTTATTATATTTTGGTAAAAAAATCCTCAAAATATTTGTTTGTAAAATAGGCTGATTTTATAATTTGGATTAAAGTCCAAACTCTTTGCGTTTAGGGACAACTAAACCAAGAAACTTGCTCAACAATATGATGTGTGTTATTTATAGTTGTAAAAACATTTTGGGAAGTAAATAAAACAGTCGGAAAGTGATGACTAAAAATATAATTTGTAGTAGTAATATTTGTGAACACTTTTGGACAAAAATCTTTTTCAAAATTATCACGTTTGTAAACAACCACAAAGGTAAATACAACTTTTAATTTAATATCAATCACCTGGAATTAATAATCATTATTATCCATTTATTTATTGACTTTACAAATCAAAACAATTCAGAAAACAAACTTTATCCTRAATTACATTTATTTACCAATTTTTTGTCAGCGAATCTCATTACATTATGTGCAAACATACTAACCTTTGTTTTTAAATTTTGTTCCGGAAATTGATTTGGATTTGGAAGAAATCGCTTTTTAAATGTAATAACATTAAAGTTTTCTTTATTGCAAGAAATTCGGCGACGATGTAGAAACCTCACTTCAGTCTTTGAAGTTTCAGACCTGTCTAGTAGATCGCGCTTCTTGTTTAAATTCTCAATGAAGAGTAGCTGCGCAACAGGGTTTTTGGGGTATTATCCTTATTTTCAGGGTAGTCCTGTTTAGTCCTATCGGGAATATTTTACAGTTCGGTCAGATTTTGTTGACATATCCTTACAGACATATCTAGAGCTTAGTGACAGGAACTCTAATATTTAAATTTTATGGTGAGTTTGAATTTTTGCTGCGGATACTGAAAATTATTAAAAAGAATATAAACACTAGAATTTAATTTGTTTAAACAGAAATACTTTACTTTTTACTTTTTGGTAAATTGTTCGTGTTCGTGGGTACTATGAACTTTGTTTTCTAAGCAGTCAAATACATTTTCTGCCTGGTTTAACTTCCTTTGTTCAAATAAACAGGGGCATTATATTCTTCACCGGTGAAAATTTATTATGCTATGAAAACTGCCTTTGTGTACACGGAGATAACTTTACATATTTTTTATTCAAATTAAGAGTTCAGTTATTAAACTAGTTTTACAAGTTAAATTAGCGCTTATTCTAAGTGGATAGAAGAATAACTAACATAATTGAAACAAAAAACTTATAAGAACGTCAAGAGGTAGATTAATTTGAGACAGAGATTTATTGGAAAACTTTCTTTTTGACAGCAACTTATTTTAATTATGAAAGTATTTTGTGCAATCCAACTTAAGCCGGATTTTATGTTTTTTGCGACATCCGACAATATCAATCAATTTTACAAAAGTTTAGCAAGCCATTGAAGTCGACTATAGCATTATAACGTAAATCGACTAATAATTTTTCACACAGGATTTACAGAATGCCAGTAAAATCCCCCTCCCAGTTTAAATGAACTTTGAACGTGGAACGAATCAAAACAATAAAAAAGCTTAGCTGAAATAAAATTTCCTTTCATTTTCAGCCTTTCATCGAACATGCCTGTAAGGCAGGGAACTGAAAGAAAACAGAATTCATAGATCTGTTTGGTAATAACCTTCAAAGCAAGCAAATATAGACGGGGCAATTAATATTTCCGACTGTCGGAAATTGAAGCTAAAATTTTCAATATTTCATTATTTGAAAAATTAATTAATTGCAGTTTGTAACATTATAAAATGATATTTAGTCAGAATAGAAAGTGCCAATTGCAAAATTAGGGGTTTTAAATAATACAATGCATTATCTGCATTCTTAACCAATAAAGACGCAATTCTTATTTGATTTGACAATAAAACATTTAAAGTTAATTAAGTCTAAGCTCCAATAGAAAGTTAAGCAAGCAACTCGACGTATTTGCAAAATTGCACAAATTAAATTAGAGATTTCACAGATGTTGGGAATTTTGCAGACTTTGCAGAAATTTTGAGTAGAATATATATATTTTTAACATAAGCGAGAAGCAAAATATAAAATATTTTTATTAATATTTCAGACAAAAATCAAAGTTTTGCTTTATTTATTTCATTTATATTAATTTTGAAATCATGTGATGGTCTTGAGTTTATACTCTACAGTATTATTTTTTTTTATGATTTTTTTTTTCTGACAAATCTGATTAAACTGGAACTTGTTAATTAAATCATAAAGTGTGTTTAAGTTTAATGAGAATTTTATAAAACGTGGGAGTTTGTTTTATGAAATTCGTTTCAGTTCGAGTTCATTCATTGCTTTAAATGTCTTCAACTGTGTAATAGTTAAATGAGATATTTCCAGAATCAATACTGAAACGTGCAATTATAAATCGATATGTTGGTGCTTTTCTTCCCTTCCAAAGCTCAGGATAGCCGGTGAAAACTGGCTCAACTTCCACCATGCTCGCAAACCTTTCTAATTTATTTGAGGTGGAGTCGTCGTAGAAAACCATTTTAAACCTAACTACTTTGAAAGTAATTATCGTCATCACTGAGTACTTCTGTTGCAAAATTACACTATTTGGACTATAAACCGTGATTAGCTTTTTGACCGGAGATTGTCTTCTCTGGAAAATGTGAATTTTATTTTTCCGAATTAAAAATCCAGGACGAGCCCTCATTAATCTAACTCTTATCTTTTGTGTGAAATCAACGCACCTAATTAAATAATAGCAGCCAGGTGTTGATAGCGGAGGGTGGAAAATGCGAATTAATTTGATGTAAATTTGGTGTTTTGATCGGACGACCCTGGTTTGTGTATTTTATCTTAAATTTAGGAYAGTTAACTTGGAAGCTACAAATTTAATTGGTTGAATTTGTAACATGTTGAATCACCCCGAATTCATGTTCTTTCATTAAAAGCTCTTGCAAAGTCGGTTAATTTAGGTAAAATTATAATCTTTGCTGTTCCACTTCGTGATGTTTTGAACATGATCTCATTAATATTGAAAGAGATCGAAGAGTTTGCTCTTCTTTCGAAATGATCACTGACACGTAGCGAGTTAGTCAACTTCAGAGCTCATTTCCCGAGGAAAAAGACATTATCGGCTCATTATGTTGAAAGGTGGTTTATTTAAATACGTAATTATCATTATTCAAAGCTGTTTTGTTAATTTTTTTTTACGATTTRTCCTAAAATTTTTACGTTTTGATAAATTGTCATGATTGTTATGCTGTGGTGGTTTTGAAAGCGATTCAATTCTAAWACKAACGTTAAAAAAGTAGGAGCTTATTGTCTAACACAAATGAACAGTTGTAATAAGTGCTAAAATAAAGATTTTTGATATTAATTCCACTTTATCTCTTTATGTGACCTTTCCCTTGACTCTTTTATTGTGCTGTTATTAAATGTAGTGGTTTATGTCACCACAATAAAGGTATTATGTAGCTGAAATTGGAATATATTTCATTTACCAGGGTCTAGGAATGTTCCATTATTATTATTAACTTTAATATCTAATTAGACAATTTATTGTGAATCTGTTCTATTAACATTTAGTTTAACAATTGTAATTAAATAATATATTTAATTAGAGTACTTAGTGAAATATTCATTGAGGAATTACATATTAATTAACTTGTTTTTGTGGCATTTGAACCTGTTCCTAAGACATTAGTGTTGCCAATTTGTACTAAAAGATGACGTTACATTTGTTATTACAGAAACCAAAGTAACAGCAGAAAATTATAAAAATACTTTTTAAGTAAAGCTTTTTTATTAAAATAATTAAAAAACATTTTGTCTTCAGCTGATTCTATTATTGCTAATTGTATGTAACGGTAACATTTTCCGTTTTAAATAACTAAAATAATTCATTAACTTTTCAAATCAGTCAAATGTGTTTGGTTAATAATAGCGAGGGTTTTTTTTATTAAAGCAAACTTTGTACAACGTGTGATAGCTGATAGGTAAACAAGAGTAACAATCACATGCCATATGAGGTTTTAAAATGTAATATCCATATCACAGGATACATAATGCACAAATTTAAACCMTTCACAGCGACATTGAACAAAAACCTTTCACACAGTTCCACCCTTGACTTGTTTACGATCATGTAATTTTGTGCAAGAGTATGAATACCCATTGTTGATAAGGGTAGGGCAAGGGTAATTATCTATCACCTATTGATTTATAAGAAGCGAATTGTCGCAAAAGCAAAAAAATATTGATTTTTTTGCTCACTTTTAAACAGCATAAAAAAGATGAAAGTGATGAGTAAATCTCTACATTTTTACGTAATATAAATATTTTAACCACTAATAGAATTTGTCAAGAGAAACAACTTTTCTTTTTCCAAATTTTGCCGAAAACACGTCATTTTTGAGTTAAAACTAAAAATAAGTTGAGGCTGAAAACCTGTCTCCGCTGGAATATTTACATTCTTTCATAAAAAAAACTATGGAACAGAAACAGCGTAAAGAAAAAAAACTCCAGAAAAAAATCACACGGATAAAAAAAATTATGGTCTTCAAATTGACTTTTTGCTCGTAATCCGCAAACACCCTGTATCGTAGCTTGAACTCACACACAGAAGCAGCTAGTAATAAACATAAAAATAAACATTTCTCACTTCACTTTGAGATAAAACTTGTAGTTTACATTCAAAAGAAATTTTGATGGCAGGGCTTTTATTGTGTGATGCAACATTACGGTTTTAAGTCTCACAATATCAGCTTGTTCAATATCGATTTTGCACTGAAAAAGTGTGATAACATCCGCGCTATTTTCATTGATGATAGTGTTCAGTATTGTGATTTTTGAAAACAAGATGGGAGTGCTCAGTGGCGTACTGAGCCTTTAACGGGCCCCCTTCCCACATTCACCATAGCAAGGTTACAATCAATAATTGTTTTTGTAAATCTATTCAAAAAATATAACTTGTAAAAATAATACAAAAATATACTAAAATTTAATAATACTATTAATAATACTATTATTTAATATGAATAAATTAATAAATATGCCTCATTACATTAGAAGTATTGAAAGTTCTGATAATATTTGGCTAAAAAATTGTATATAGCCATAATCAGTTAGGTCCTTCTTAACGAAAATATTATTCACTTCCGGTTATATTGGAAGTGGGTATGAATTTTGTTACTTTATTATTTTTTTTTTATTTAGTTACTTATTTTATTTAGAAAGCCATGTTTTTTATTGCGTTTTTGGATTCCCCAAGTTATTCTATGAAAGTTATCATTTCTCTACCTAAGTTTAGTCGTTTTTGAGAGTTTTTGAAAATTTTTCACTTTGAACCTTCCTCTTCAAAAATTGATAACTTTTTTTAATTATTATGGAATCGTATTTTGGCATTTAAAGTAGAAAGGATCGATCTTTCTTTGGCGGATTCATAATTAAAAATTGATTAACAAATCCTAAAAATTTAACGTTACTAATAGGTGAATTTCTCTAAATAAAACGCTCCAATTTATTCTTCATTAAATGGAGGAGAACTTAATTCTGCTTCGATCTGTATAACACTCTATATCTATATGAGCTCAAGTAGACAATAATTTCAACAGCTAATATAAAAAAAAAATATTGAAGAATTTTTTAAATTTGTAATTTGTAACTGGACAACAAAAAGGTCCCGTGCGAGCCTCTTTGCTCAGTACGCCACTGGGCTTGCTTGTAACAAAAGCTTCTAGAATCAGGCCCAAGATAAGTTTTATAGAATTTTTTGTCTGAATTGAAATGATTTTTGATGATTCGCATAATTTGTTTTTTATTGTGTTTCTGGATTCCCCAAGTTATTCTATAAAAGTTATGATCGATCTTCTCTCTACCTAAGTTCGGTCGTTTTTGAGAGTTGTAGACTTGTTGAAAATTCTTGACTTTGAACCTTCATCTTCAAAAATTGATAATTCTGTAATTTTTAATTATTATGGAATCGTATTTTGGCATTTAAAAGGAAAGGATCAACCTTTCTTTTGGCGGATTCATAATTAAAAATTGATTAACAAATCCTAAAAATTAAACGTTACTAATAGGTCAATTTTTCTAAATAAAACGCTCCATTTTTTTTTTATTAAACGGAGGAGAATTTAATTCTGCTTCGATCTGTATAACACTCTATATCTATGAGCTCAAACAGACAACAATTTCAACAGCTAATATAAAAAAAAAAATATTGTAGAATTTTTTAAATTCTAACTGGACAACGAAAAGGGCCCGTGCTAGCCTCTTTGCTCAGTACGCCACTGGGCTTGCTTATAACAAAAGCTTCTAGAATCAGGCCCAAGATAGGTTTTATAGAAGTCGTTTTTGAGAGTTGTAGACTTTTTGAAAATTTTTGACTTTGAACCTTCATCTTCAAAAATTGATAATATGGAATCGTATTTTGGCATTTAAAGTAGAAAGGATCAATCTTTCTTTTGGCGGATTCATAATTAAAAATTGATTAACAAATCCTAAAAATTTAACGTTATTAATGGATGAATTTCTCTAAATAWAACGCTCCAAATTTTTCTTCATTAAATGGAGGAGGACTTAATTCTGCTTCGATCTGTATAACACTCTATATCTATGAGCTCAAACAGACAACAATTTCAACAGCTAATATAAAAAAAAATATTGTAGAATTTTTTAAATTTGTACCTGGACAACGAAAAGGTCCCGTGCGAGCCCCTTTGCTCTGTACGCCACTGGGCTTGCTTGTAACAAAAGCTTCAAGAATCAGGCCCAAGATAGGTTTTATAGAATTTTTGTCTGAATTGAAATGATTTTTGAAAGCAGGATGATTGGCATAATTTAAATATATTTGTCCCCGAATGGATTTTTGGTGTAAATGCTTCAGTGTTCTTGTAAATTTAGGTCTGAAGGGTTGATTTAGGCCTTGCAAATTCTGCCGCTTGTCACGCCCCAATCACTGCAGTCGTCCATCACTATTCTCCGTTTGCGCTCACGTTTCCACCGACAGGACGTCCTGATTGCTGGTGGTGGCGGCACACAAAAGGACAAATTCTTCCGGGAGAGTGTACTTATTTGTCGAACATGCAATGATCGATTTTTTTGTTGCAAGACCCTATCTTTAATTAAACTTCAACAGTCGTAGATTGCTTCCCAATTCACGTAAAACGCTATCAGATTGCTGTAGCGGAGGTTATGCTCGTTTTTGGTACTGGTGTGTGTGTAATTTACGCTTTAGATCCGCGGATGCAATGGAGCAGGCCTGACGCCACCTAATTTTCCCCACCATTAACCTAACACCCTCGTAAGTTATAACTCTGGAGGAAGAGGTCACGAGTGGAGTGTTATCTCAGAAACGAGTTCATCAGACAGATGCGTTACATTTTTATTTTTAAATTCGGTTCATTTCTGTTGCTTCAAGGTTTTCAAAAGCTAGCTTTGCTAACTTTGCAGCCTTCCGGATATAAATCCGATCATTTTAAGGGAAAGTTGAAAGGTTGTTCAAAGGCTGAACCCAATAAAACTAATAAATTGACACAAGGTGACTTTTGATCTCATCAGATGAATCAATCGTTGGCGAAATAAGTTTACAGACGTTGCAGAAGCATCGTCTGAACAAACATTTTCGCTGTTTACACTCACACCATAAAATAAACTTCACCATGAATCACATTTCCAGCGTAGATTTTTTTCAGGGKGTAACTCGATCAAATTACGTGTCCCGACTAATTTACATGGACTATGAAATAATATCACGAAGTGGGCAGAATTTACTGACTTCATTTTGTATAAATTAAAATACAAAGCAAGGAGAGGCTTCTTCATGAATGTAATTGTCTCGTTTCACTCAACAAATATTTCAGGAGTGTTACAACTTGAGTAAATAAATCAGTGTGTTCCTGCTGAAGACTCATGCGATGGGCTCAGCAGGTGCATGATACTGAAACTGCAATCAACAACTTCAGTTTTTCGCGAYGAGGAGAAAATTGAATGTAGTCTTGTTATCAGTTCTGAAATCGGCTTTCAGTTCGTGCCTTTTTCATTTCTCTTTGTATAAGAAACAATACAAAAACGTCAAAGACAAATTGGTTAAGGAATTTCGCCGTAAATCAGTGGGTTAAGAACGGCAAGTCGAATTTGCTGACTGTGCAACTTCATCTAAAGCGCTTTTCTTTGCAATATGTCAATCTTCCCATCTGTCGAAGCTCACCTTTTTCCTTAACAATTTCACTGCTGAGTAATTGAAATTTTATGAAACTGAAAAATTGTTTTGTGACCAGAAATATTCATCGGTGAGAAATGTAAGCTCTAGAAATAAATTTCTATTCAACACTTCAGTTAAAAAAAAACAGCTGCTGAAGGAGAATAGTGACAAAAACAACGCCCAAATAAGAAACAGAGAAGTGGTTTTTTATTAGTATTTATTTATTAATTAAAGTCAATKTAACTTTACAAATACACACACAAAATGATGACAAGTTAACACCAACAGTTTAATTAAGTTTCCTTTGAATAAACTTTCAGCAAGCTTTCGATATTTATGGCTGGTGTTGAATATTAATCTTTATTTCGAAAGAAGCCTAAGCTTTTTTAATGAAAAGAATAAATTTGTAACATTAAAAAGGAGTAAATTCATACTGAAAAAAACAATATGGTATTGCAATTCAAGTGTCTTTGGCGCTTTTAATACAAATAGATGTTTTTTTAATAACAAATATTTTTTATTTCATCTTTTTTTGTGCAGACGATTCTCTCTGTAAGAGAGTAATGGAAAGCCGCTTGGGTACAGTCTGTGAAACAATTGTGTTGTATTTTCCTATCGATAAAACTCCATTTTGCACCAAGAACTATACTTTTTGCAGGAGTGTACCGATCTGTTGAAATAAAAAAATCTAAACCGGCCCAATATTTTGGATTTTAGATGACCAGTAATGTTGATATACGAAAACTGGTCAATTTTACAAATTACTTAGGCAGTACTTTTGCTGCCGGCAACGGTACTGGTACCAACTACCGGTTTTTGTCGCTAATTTTACTTTTTTTTTAAATTTCACTAGCTATTTTTTTGCAGTTTAAAATATATATTTTTTTAAATACCAATAATAGTTTTTGAAGATCATTAGCGATTAAAACTCTTTATATTTCAGAATTTAGGATAGTTTCTGCTGGTATAACCAGTACAAACATTTACAGAATGTAAATTAAATTATTTTTGCTTCTTCTGACCGCTACTATCTTTTAAAATTTCTACCAATTAAAATGATGGTTGAATACAGTTGCCAGCAGCAAAGACACTACCAAATAATTAAGATACAACATTTGATCACACCCAAAAAATCCAAAAATTTGATTTTTGAAACGAAAACATAGTAAAAAATACAAAATAAATTATAATATTTTTATATTCAAAAAACTCGAAATTTCAAATTATAGTGTGGTACAAGTGAATTACGTATAAATGAAAAGTCTACTTTAATTTTTTCAAAATGTGACCTCTATGAAGAAATGATAAAGTAATTCTTTTTAATGACAGTTTTTTCAGATTTGTGGCAAAAGTTCGTTTTGTGTACTTGGAAAAGATGTTATTTTTGTACCAAACTAAATTTTTTAAATTCTTGCTGATCTCAAGTTAGTTAAAACATAGTTTACTCTTAGGATTCAGGATTTGAGAAACTTTTACATAAAATATTTACATTTTTTTCGTAAACTTTGTACATTTACAATTTAAGGTTTATTTTTAAAAACTTAATGGACTCACACCGTTTTTGGGGAAAAACGATATTCGATAGTAGAAAAATATTCGAATCGTATTTTTCCTTTATGAAAATAGCTTTGAATTAACAATAGAAACAAATTGTTATAAATTAAAAATTTCCCTTTTGATGTCATTGTGAGAAATTTTGATCAAAATCAGAAGCCGTTGAAACGTGTGTCTACTCTTACACTAAGACACTTTTGACGTTTCCGAGATCGTAATTTTCTCAGAAAATTTTATGAAGACTATTCAAAAAGTTACAGCTAACAATTTCCAGTAATGTTGATACACAAAAACTTGTCAATTTTACAAATTATTTAGGCAGTACCTCTACTGCCGGCAACGGCACTCGTACCAGCCTAATTTTATTAGCTATATGTTCGCAGTTTAAAATATACTTTTTTAAACAATACCAATAATAATACTCTATATATTTCAGAATTTAGGATTGTTTCTGCTAGTATAACCAGTATAAACAGTCACAGAATTATTTTTGCATTTTCTGGCCGCTACTATCTTTTAAAATGTTTAGCTATTAAAACAAAAATGAATATGATACAACATTTGTTCTGAAAACCAAGATTATTTCATTTTTAAAACGAAAACACAGCTACTGAAAAATGCAAAATAAATTATAATATTTTTATATTCAAAGAACTCAAAGTGAGAACATAAATGATTGCAAAATATTTGTGTCTGAGACTTATTTGGGAAACCAAACTAAGTCGAATATGTCTCACCATAAAAGCTTCTTGGAAGTTATCTTAGCCAGACAGCTTGCATTAAAAGATAACTTTTATTAATAATTTAGTGCGCTTATTTAGGTAAGCCTATTAAACTAATCTTCCGTATTTGGTTCCAGCTTTTTTATGAGTAATTTTAAGGCAATTAGCGCAYCGAATAATTTTGAATTTTTAATATGTTCCAATGTGATCATTACCATTAACACGTTTGTTTCATTTACAGGTTTTTAGTTTCGCTTTAAATRGGTGAGGATGGGGAAAGGAGACAAACGAGGAAGTCAGCGTTCCGATAGTGGTATGAAAACCTTGCATTAATTAATAAAAGAAACGAATTTAATCGATATCTAAAATTAGAAATAATAGTAATGGAATTGACGTTCCGAAAGTTGCGGCTTCATGTAAATGRAGTAAAATGACGTGCTATTSAGGATTATATCAACGAATTTCGGCTTTCAAATAACTAGAGAGGAGTTAAACTCGATTACGTGGAAGTACGTCATCGGACCACCCTTGCTCTATTCCACCCTGTCCTGACTGTCATTTTGCCCTTCCAGGGCCAATATTTGAATTATTTTGGCAAAGCTTTAACTCGACGATTTTAGCCAGATTACATCAGCGTTAAATGTCATTATCAAAAATTGTGGCCTGCGATTTTGAAACCGCAACGGGTTATCCAAAGATCCGCTTGCTCATTGCATTTTACTGATTTTCATGTGAAACACGGATGGGGCGGTCCATCGTCGACAGTTACTCAAAGAGCGAATTTGTGTAGTTCACGAATAAATTAAATTCACCCAGAACCGGAAAACGCTACCTTYGAGGGGCTTTTAAACGGAGATAAACGGAAATAAACCCATTACATTACAGCCCTCGTAACTTCTTATTTTATCGCAAAATATATTATGTGAGAACGTAATTGAATCATAATTTCTCGCTCGTTCTAGCGTAGAACAAATAATACATTAAATAGCGATTATAACTTCGATTTCCCCTGAGGTGTGAGTAAGTTGGCAGCTTTGAACGGACTCACGTAGATGGTACACGAAAGAAGTCYGATTAAATCTCCAAAGGCTTAATAAATAAGTTTTTGGCGGCTTTGTCAATTCGTGAGACTTTCACTTAAGACAAAACTGCATGCGGTTTCAAGTTGCACAAAAGTTGCTGATTGCCGATTGGGGTTTTGCGGTAACTCTTCAACCTCTCTCGTAAATCGTCACGACGTTTCAGAGATAAATTGCTGAACTGGAGGCTGGATTTTTAAGCTCACACTTAATTAGTAAACGATGTGATAAAAGCTCGAAACATGTAAATTTMCGCTATGTTTGCATTTAAACTGGAGGTAGTAAAATGATATTTGTTGTATCACCAAGAATATTACAGTAAAAGCTATAAAAGGTTATGAGGTACATGAAATAACAATGGAATTTTGACGCTGTTAAACACCTGCCGGATTTCTAATAACCTTCAATGAACAAACTTGTTTCATTTGGTGTAAATTGCACGGGGAAAAAGTTGAATTTTTATCAATAAAGAACATATTAGTCGGTTAATTGTGGCAATTAAAGCTGTCTGGACAGTTGTCTTCAAATCCCAAAGTCCCCAAGTTAATAGAAGAAATGTAATAACACTGCGCTGGCATAAATACAGTGTTTCTCTACTTTCATTGATAAKAAAATCAATAAAAKCACACGCGTTCCAGATCAGAGTTAATTATTATTTTATACTAGTATAAAGTAGTCGCAAGAGATTTTTTTWTTTTAATTACTTGTGCACTTAAAATCAGCGGCYAGCATATCAAATTATCGTGTGCWACAAGTGAATTAAGTGTACATGATAAATTTGCTTTAGTTTTTTCAAAGTGTGACCTGTTTATGAATAAAAAATAAAGTAAGGTTTTTTTAAAAGTGACAGTTTTTTCAGATATGTGGCAAAAGCTCGTTTTGTGTAGGTGGAAAAGATGTTATTTTTGTACCAAACTAAAATTTTCAAATTCTTGCTGATCTTAAGTTAGTTAAAACATAATGTACTCACAGGATTCAGGATTGGAGAAACTTTTACATAAAATACATTTTTTTCGTAAACTTTGTATGCAGGGTGAATATAAATTGCCTCCAGAAAATTATAATTAATATAAATTAAAGTAATATAAAAAATGTGATCGTATTTTCAGAACGAAATTTTGTTTTGTTTTTGAGTTTGCGATTTTTTTTGTCAAATTTGCAATTTATGTGAAAACATTTTTTTCAAAAAATTAAATATAAAGCAGATAGTTGTAATCCTTAGAGTATAGCTTTTATGAGAAAAATGATTTTATAGTGGGTTGCCATTTAAAAAAATATTTTTTTTGTAGAATTCAAAAACAAAAGGAAATTTGGAAAAATTTTATTCTTGTTAAATCATCACATTTTTATAGTACTTTATCATTCAATAATTAGTTTTTTTAAAAAATAAATAGTTTAAGCAAAAAACGTTTGGTTCCATACTTTTTATTCACCTGGTATATCCAATTTGAGGTTTACTTTTGAAAACTGAATGAACTCACACCGTTTTTGGGGAAAAATAACATTCGAATATCGAAAATAGCTTGGGATTAACCTTAGAAAAAAATTATTAAAGATTAAAAATTTCCCTTTTGATGTCATTGTGATTATTGGTCAAAATTACACAAAGACACTTTTGACGTTCCCAAGATCGTAATTTTCTCAAAAAATGTTATAGAGACAACTGAAAAAATTTTTCAATTAATCAGACATAAACATTTTTCGCTTTTTGAATGAATAACCAACCAACCACAAAAGATTTTTTAACACACCTACGAATTTATGTAAGAAATTTTTTTCATTCTTATTTAAGACATCTTTTTAGAATTTGATTTTAAAACACTATCCCATAGTGTCACATTTAACGACATTTTGATGCAATAATCAAGGTAGGTAAATTTGTTTCTTCAAGTGGGTGCGTCACAAATTACAAGTTATTGTTATTTCAAAGATGGCACCGACATTGAACTGATCAAAGCTTRTAAATAAATGTCACGCCTGTGGTAGAATTGATGAAACTTTTTCAGATATTTGGGGTAAAAAAAAATATGGAATCAAGCGTATTTTTAATCATTTGCCTTCAGAAAATAAAATGCTATAAAAAATGTGACCGTGTTTTCAGATATAAATTTTGTGTTGTTTTTGAGTTAGATGAATTTTTTTATCAAAATAGTAACTTACATGAAATTTTTTATAGTCCTTATAAAGAAAGGTTTTGTAGAAGGTTGCTATTCAAAAAAATATAAAAAAAATTGCAGAACTCAGAATAAAAATTTTCAAAAAAGTATTCTTAAAAATCACATTTTTATTTTATCACTTATTAATTAGTTTTGTTTTTTAATTAAATACTTTAGGCAAAAAACGTTTGGTTTGATTTCCTGCCCTGTATGTATCATGTTAAATGCAAATAAGGATGATTTAAATATATGATTTAAATCATAAATATTTCTGGTGTTTAATATTCCATTATACGAAAAATGAGTTTAACGCAATTAATTATAATTACCTAGTTCGTTCTGTATTAATTTATGAAATAGGTACAATAGAACAATATGTAATAAATGAAATAGCTTTTCGTGTTTGCTATAACATTTTTGACAATTGACAATTTAAGAAGCTCTTAAAAGATAAAATAGTGTAAAACACGTGTTAAAATAACCTCACATTGTGTTAATCGTGAATTAAAACACTCGCCACTACGTGGTTCGAGTCAGAAACTACTCTTATCACAATGAGAGTATTTGTAACACTTGTTTTTTTTTTAATATCCTATTACAGTGTTTTTCTTTTAGTTTTCCTCTTTTGTCAAATGTATTTCACTATTACTCAAAACTATTTCATTTGATATATTAATGTCAAAGCGCCGTAGGTGGGAAATAGTTTTGCGAAATAGTTAAATACATTTGACAAAAGAGGAAAACCAAAAAAAAAAAAAACACTGTAAATCTGTATGTGTAAATATTGTTAAATTTTAAAATTTTAATTTTTTATTTCTTTGCAAGTTCTGGAAATGCCAGTTTTGTCACGATGTTCCATTGCAGTGTTTTTAATACATATTTTTGCATACCTACTGTAAATAGTAAAACAAACCACGAATTACATTACCACAAATTTAATCTTGGGAATGCAGTGTGTTTGTGTTCACTGTTTTCAGAAGTTATGAGTGGTGTTATTTGTTTATGAGAGTGTAAAAAAGGAACTGTGGTCCTTGTAGAACCTCACTTTCATTTTTCATTTTAAAAATTAAAAGGGCCTATAAACAACTTGAAGTACATTTCATGAATTTTACGACTTGGAACAGCATATCGTTTATTGAATTTGGCGAATATGCAGATGTGGTGTTTATCAGTTTCATCTTTTTCGTGTTGGGAGTCGGTATATTCGTATTTTTAGATAACAGGACTGCGGTTTTGCAGTACAATAGTTGTATGCTGTTTTTTATTAAATCCGGTTGTTTGTTATAAAACGTAATCACATAAAAATAAATAACAGTGTTGTCATTATTGCTTTTTTATTTGAGAATTGAATATTAGGTAAATTTTGTGTTATTATTTAATCGCAGACTTTGCGTGTTTATTGGTGATCAATTTGAAGCCTTTAAACAGATAAGGACAAATCCCTATCTCAGCAGGACGAATTTGGTGTGAAAAATAGGGTTATAAAGGTTTAAAGTTTGGGGTTTCATTGATCCATTCCTGAAATTTATATTGCTTTAGTATTATTGAAAAATGCCCAACACGCTGAATCGGTGTTTCAGTGTCACAGATGCATTGTAAGCTTATAAATCTTCTTGATATTTTAGTCCTAGATAAAATAAATCAAGAGAAAAATAGTTGTAATGCAAACAAAACTCGTGAATCCGAAGTTTTATCGCATTTTGAAAATGTTGCAGCTACATGTAGTCACAAAATTCGYTATCTACCAGTTCCTTTTAATATTCCAATAAATCAGTGCGTTRCAACCACCTCATATCTCATGTAGATTACCCAAGGGTACAATGCCTGGGTTTCAGATCGTTTTAAGTGCTTGGTGTAAGAATATTCAAGAAGCTTATTGAAACGAGGTTTATTTTAAATCACCAGTGGAATTCAAAATTGGCTGTCAACGTGCAGGAATACGAGGAGTTTTAAATATTAGAGAGCGAGGTTATACTCGGGATAAACCCTCACGAACTTTATAAAAAGTGAAAGAACCATGTTTCGAAAATGTTGCAACTTGTTGCTACCGATTTTGACATGATTCCACAAAAAAAATATAACAAAGCATGGTAAGTTATACAATAATTGTGAACGCTTTGAGTTCAATTGAAGGAGAAAAATGTTCAAAGGTTCACTCAGCTATACTTTGACTTCCATTATCTATGTTACATCTGCGATATATGAATGCCTTTGTGTAAGTAAAATATTTGATGCGCAAATTCCGCTCTTTAAACACAAGTCAAATATTTCAGCAGGGATTTTGGTTTATCTTWAAGAAAAATCTGAAACTTATTTGACAAAGAAATACGTCAAGGGGAAGTAAACAAGCTTTGTAACGAAATAGACACTAAGCTTTATTTTCGTTTTAATAAAAAATAAATAAACCTAAAAAATTGTCTACAAGCATTTTTGGATCAATTAGCAATTTTATTCGAGACATTGATTTCGAAGTAAAACCCCGGTTCAACATTCAGCGACATTCGGCAAATTTAATTACCACTGCGGCTGCTGTCAGGAACTGCGACAGATGGTGGTAGCTTAGAGCTCTCCACTTTGTTGCCTCTTTCAGCTACAACTAACACGGATTTTTTTCCTTTTAATTGGATGCTGCATACTTTATAAGTCGCACTTGTAATAATCAAGTGTCAACACTCGAAAACACACTTTTAATACTGATGCTGTTAGTCACTAAAACACACACAGGAACTTTTACTTCTTATTGTAGTAATTCAAAGCAGCGGCTATGGCAGCTTGGGCGAAGTCGTTGTCACATGGACTCTGGTCCCAGAACGCCCCAGGACACCCTCGTTGTTCAAAACAGTCGTAACTAACTTCAGCTGTGGAGGAACAACAGGAAATTATAGCCCAGACGCATCTGCTAGGTTCATTGGGCCTAAAAACAGGTGTTGAAACGGTTGTTGGAGTTTCTGATTCCTTCGCATTTTCTTCAGGATCAGTGGGATTGTGGACAAGAGGTGGCGGCGTCCTGGGTCTTGATGGTCGCGGTTTTCGTGTTGGAACAACACTAGTTTCCGTTGTTTTCCCATTTTCATCAGCCCATATGGGTCTATCATCATAATTATCACCACCGTTAAATCTATCCCTGATACTCATGGTTGTAGTCTCAGGTGGCAAGTACGTAGGCCCCACAAATGGTTTTTTATTATCCTTTGGTACTCCCGGATTAACGAACGGTTGAGGGGGATAATAAATGGGCACTCGACCCGGAACCCCAAAAATGGGGATATAATACGGCCTGCTTATCTGGTACACTGGAGGCTTCCAAACAGTGATACTCTGATATGGCACTTCATAAGTTACTTCATTTTGCCAAGGATAATAACTTCGTTTTCGCACATTTTTCCTCTTGTTATTTTCTTGGACTGGAAGTTTGCTGTTGTCGGATTGTTGAGGCATGGGGACTCCTGGACGATGATCTGTTGCTTCGGTGAGCAGCTGGCGTTGGGGCCTATCCTCGCGCGCTTCGTATTGATCTTGTGCCGATTCGAAGGGATGAGAACTCCATGCTGTTGTGCTTACCAGCGCTAACGCCAATGCTATCATGCAGATAAATGCCATCCTGCAACAACTGTTAACAGTCAATACAAACACATATACATAATTGGAAAGCGTGCAAATGCGCCAGATTGATTTTTCTGCACTATTGTGACAAACAGCGGTTAAAAACCACCATTCAAAAGTTGCTTAACTAAAGACTTTTCTGTCTCTTAGTTTTAAAGTTCTCTTTCCATGTACAGGTGTCTCAGCGAGTTGAAAAACTCCTTCAGTGACTTTTAAATGGTAAAATTTAAAAAAAAATTGTATAGGACATTGATAGATACTAATCTAGTGCATCACCTAATATTATTTTCAACCATACAGCATGTCCCAAAAATAAGTTGCAATAGAAACTTGTGTTTTTTTAAACGAAACACCTATGTTTTATGGCATTTTAAAACAATATTTTTACGCTAAACTTTTATTAGTCGATTTTGCTTAGTCCGTTTTTTTGACGAAAACATGCATTTTTTAAAAAGAAGCTAGAACAAATTTCCATTTTAAAGTCATTTATAACACTTCTGAATTGTGGATATTTTATGAATGAGATGTGTAGTGTTGTATAGTGTTGCTAAAGAGCAAAATTCATTATTCAAAAGTTGGATGTTTTAATGAAAATCTTGCAATTAATTCTTGAATCATTTATGATCAAATTTTCTATTTTATTAAAAATTCTTGATTAAATTCTGGCGTTTTGTCACCTTCTAAGGAACACAGTATTAAAAATGCGAAAAACGTGAAATTGTTTTCACAAGAATGTAGTTTTTGTTTGACGAAAACATGTACTTTTTAAAAATTTATTACACAAAAACTAAGAAGCTAGAACAATTTTTTTCTTACATCTGCAAAGGAGAATGTACGGAATTTAAAGCTGTAGCAAATTTTTTAGTGTTTTGCATTTGTAAAGATTAATAAATTCAGAAGTTTGTTAAAAGTTAAATAATTTAAAAAATTTAAATGGAACATCCTATTTTTTATTTTTGCATCTAATAGATTGATAAATTGTCTATCTAGAAAGATAAACTTTTAATGTCTAGAATTGATAAATGAAAAGATATTTAACATGCAATAGCAACAATGCCTATCAATATCTGAGCATTGTTGAGACTGGCAACCATAGTAATTCCCCCACGGATCACTTACCCGTTGATTTATCCAGAGATTGAAAAGTCGTTATAAATATTAAAATTCGAATTATTTTATTGTAAAAATAAAGAATAATGGTTTTAGTTTAACACAAATTAGATTATTAAGTGATATTTTTTACATCTTTTGTGCTACTGTGCACTTTTTGGTTACTGAAACAATAGTAATTATTTTTTTAATGTTAAATATTTTTTTAGTTATTAATTATAAACACCTAAAAGTAAATAATTTTAGAAAGGCAATTTAACAATCTTTTAAATAAATAGGGTGTTCCATTTAATTTTTTTAYGTTATTGAACTTTTAACAAACGCCTTCATTTTTTTAACTTTGCAAATGCAACACACTAAAAAAGTGTTACAACCTTCTTCTTTGTGGTAGTAAAAAAATATTTCTAGATGTCTTAGTTTTTGTGAAATAAATTTTTTAAAAATGCATGTTTTCGTGAAAAAACCGTCTTATTTTTAAAACTAAGCAAAATCGACCAATAAAAGTTTAGCTTAAAAACATTGTCATAAAAATCTACATCCAAAAACGCTAAAAAACATATGGTGTTTCATTTAAAAAACACGTTTGTATTGTAACTTATTTTTGAGACACGCTGTATAGTTGAAAATAATTTTAGGCGATGTWCTAGATTATTATCTATCAATATCCTAAATAATTTTTTTTGTAATTTTACCATTTAAAAGTCACTAATGGACTTTTTCACCTGTATGTAGTTAGAATTTTCTTGTTATATCTGTCAATGGGTTCAATTTTGTAATTCGTTTTTGTTACAATCAAAAATTAGGAAACACTAACAGCGGACAGTGTTTTTCTTCAATTGCTGAGAAAAGATATAAAATTTAGTATTGTGATGTAAATGTGAGCTCATTGCTTATACCGCCTGTATCTATTTATTGTATTTATATTTACTTTTGAAGGCTTTCAAGGTGAAAGAAAAAATACATCAATAGGATTATCAAAAATTGAATCAATAATAGTGAGAAGTGAATTATGTATCGGGAATTTCACAAATTTCTTGATTTCCRCCATTTCCGTATAATTTTACTTATCAGAGTAATGTCCTGTAATTAGTTTTAATTAATTAGATAAAATTTTCAACATCCATGTTTCAGGACTTTACATTCTGTATTTGGCTTACGAAAGTGCTTAAAAATTTGTCAGCTGCAATTAATTTGCACAAACTTCTCAGTTATTGTGTCAGGGACTTTGTGGTTAAAACATTCGATTTTAAGTTTGCTAAATTAACGGTAATTACTAATCCATTAACTAATGAAAACTACAAATTCTTGCATGTTTATTTCTGATACATGATTTAATAAATGCGATAGTAAAAATACTTTGCGCGATAAAGAAGCTAGCTAATTAGCATGCACCCCGCAGAAAACAAGAAGATAAGAYTACAAAAGATGCTGACAAGCTGCGAGAAACCCATTTAACTACAGCAGGAAATAAGGACAAGATTGTCGTATTAAATTGGCTACGCAACAAACATCTGTCTTTGACTTTTTCACTCTAATACACTTTTGACAAATTGAAGCATCGCAAAAATAAAATCTTCAACAAGTTACCTCTATTCTTATGAATCCTTTTACTGTGAACACACACCGACACTGCACGCTCGCCAGGTGGATGCTTGTATTTGTACAATTACTCCTTCACGATAAATTATGAAAACTCATCGTTCCACAGAACTGATCTAAACCCTAGGAATCACCTTTCAGTGGAACACTGGAGTGTACTGTTTACCACATGTACAAATTTATATACAGATTTTGGTGCGGTGATATTAAGAGGTCCACTCTAAATTACAAGCTTTTTCCATTTTGAACTAATTAGAGTAATCAAAAAAGGAGGATTGSCGAAAATAATTCTCGAAAGTAATTAGCAAGTTTTAAAAGGTTAATCAAAACAATCAATTTATTCTTTGTCACATGTATGAAATTTTTCGTTTTTTTAAGTTCCGAGTTACAATTAACAAGCTTTGTATGTTGTAATGAATTATGAAACTTTGATTATAAACCCGAATTATTCGAAACACATGGGTTGTATGGAATAACAATTTTTAACATAATATTTACATTTTAAGTAGATTAGGAAATAGCTAACAAGAAAATTCGTTTGCGAGTATCACTCAACAAAATAATAGTTTCATTTTTGTAACACGTAGTAGATTTTCTCAAGCACATGGTTGGGTTTTCCATAACTCATTAGACAATTTATTTGCAAAGTTACTTAAAGCTGCGTACTTCGGTGCAAAATTATGATTAAATAATATAAATTCAATTTCCGGTTATTAACCTGTAAGTCACGTAGTAAATCATATTATTAGCATTTTTATAAAACGTGATAGTTCAGCACGACTATTCTTGAGTTCAGGAATTATTTTTTTGTGGATCAATTAAAACATTTTAATATTTGGCTGTCAAAACTTAATAAATAATAATATTACATTATTCATGAATTTCGTATTGATTTCGAATGTAACAAAGTCAAGTTCTAGTCGGAACTGACACATTGTTCCAGGATAAAAAAATTCTTCAATAACTGAAACTTTTTTTCAGCCATCAATTAAATACGAGAACGTCTAGTTTAATACGGGGAGAACACAACTTTTCTCATTAATTTTAAATAAACTTCCACACATTATTTCTGACCATAGAGAGGAAGGAAGTGATTTTTTGTTGAAACAGAAAAAACATATATTATACAACAGGTGTTGTTCGTTTAATGTAATGTTAATTGTAGTTTCCGAATCTGTATTAAAATTTAAAAAGGTTGGAGGGAAAATTGTGACAACATTGATTTGATAATTCCATTTACGTAATTGTTTAAACTATCTTGAAACGTCATCGTTTGTGGAGTCGAATTCATGAACTCTATTAAAACGTTCACCGCAATGTAATTTCCATTTTAAAGTCATTTATAAAACTTCTGAATTGTGGATATTTTATGAATGAGATGTGTAGTGTTGTATAGCACTTTAGCGAAATTCATTATTCAAAAGTTGGATGTTTTAATGAAAATCTTGCAATTAATTCTTGAATCATTTATGATCAAATTTTCTATTTTATTTAAAATTCTTGATTAAATTCTGGCGTTTTGTCACCTCCTAAGGAAAACAGTATTTTAAATATGCGAAAAACGTGAAATTGTTTTCACAAGGATGTAGAAGCTTTATAACAATATTGAATAAAAAATTTCAAGTAAAGTCAATCATCTTATAATAAGTTCCAAGAAGAATTTAAGGATTGGGAACAACAAAAACTAATAGTGTGTCTAAAATTTCAATAAATAATTGTGGCAATTTCAGAACGTTCCGTCTGGAAAATTAATAAATATTTTCGCTATAATTTAAATAAATTATTACCTGTCAGTGGTCTGTAATAATTATGTCTTCTAAATTGTTCAACACTCAAACTATTATTTCACTAACGTAACTTTATTATGTGGTAAACCGCAATGTTGGAGTTGTTGGTTATAAATGGAGCACAAGCTTGGCATCTTAGACTTTTAAATGCTCAAAATCTGGGACGTAAACTGAATGAATCAGGCGGGAGCCAGGATAAGTCGCGTGTTCTGAGCAAATTGTTACTAATAAATTTGTGTTGTCGGCGTTTTTTATCAATTATTGTACTTTGGCGATGAGCAAAGTGGGAAAACCACAAATCGGCCCTCTTATTCCCGTTGCATCACAATTTGAAAACTTGTGTAACAAAAATTAAGAATCTTTACTTAATGAGTTAATATCAACAATGAATGTGTTTTATCATTTCATGTCTTAATTCGTTTACGGTTGAGATTTTACAACCCTAGATTTCAATAAACAAACACTGTTTTGCGACTGTTTATTCAAATATAATTGAGGATTTTAATTACTATGCATTTTTTCCAAAAAGTGGAAACCAATTTAATTCCGGAAAAATACCACCAATAAACATTTATTACACAAAATGGAAAATCGTAAAATATTTTGTTTATACTGATGGGAGATGTATGTAAATGTTATTCTTGTATTTAATCACTTCCGTTTATGACATCGTCATTTGTAATAATTATTTATTACTGAAAATTTTACACTGGATGCATTTAATTGCTTGACATTTGACTAAATTGCGTCATTTTTATTAAATTTGCAAAACTGAGCAAAAGAAATAAGTTTCTTACCCACTTCCTGACCTATTTGCTACACTAAAACAAGTCCTGGTCTAACTATAACCCGCTGCTTGCTTTATTTATAAATAGAAAGTTTAAAACGGTAAGTTTACTTTCATCCACCTTGCACAAAAATCCTTGAAACATAAATTATCCGCATTATAAATTTTAATTGTGATTTTAGTCAGACTTGAACTAAAGTCTCACGAGTCCTTACATTTTCCTTCAAGAGTCATGCTTGACTATAGGGAATTCAACGACATTGTAAAACTTTAAACGTGGAACATCTTMCAGGATTAAAAACTGAAAACCTATCCTGCACAAAGCAAACTTCAGACTCTTTGCCAAAAGAGCTCCGCAATTTTTATTTTATTAAAAAGAAACTAAAACAGATAATTAATTAACCAGAAGCTTTTATGGTACAGCAATGCGCTTTTTTGAGTTTCCGAACGACTGGCTCATGTTTACAAGTGGTGCTTCGGCGCGTGCAAAACTAAACCAAACTTTTTTACAAAGTAATTAACGGTTTATATAAAGGGATTTGCGGGCTTTAAAACGGTTTTGTTTAAACTAAACCCAAATCCCGCCGCGATATTTAAATTCACGATAGCAGGAGGTGCGGAATTACATTGCAGTATTTTTACTTTTTGCGATTCCAGTGAGGGTTATTTTGATTATTTACTTTGAAGACAAACTAATTACATTTTTGTGAAACGGATATATTGGAGAGATGAGAGATGGTTTTTTCTTCTATTTTCTTTACCAAAAGGTCCAATATTGTGTTCAAAAAGTGATCTTGTATTAGGTAAATTAAGAGTCTTGTCTTGTGTAATCGCCCACTACCCTTTGCAACACAATACAAAGGCCAACCCTTTGCACCAAACTGCAGTGCAAAGTCCCCATTCCACCACAAAGAGAATTTCATAAAGTACGAAAACTGAATCTCCGTTCCTCTTTTTCGTCAAAACCACTAAATGAGTTTGGTAATAACTCTGATAATGAGTACCTGCAAGTTATAAACCCCCTAATTTAATTTCTGGTTCGGTCTTCGTGATCGAGTCAAATTTCAAGACCAATGGTTGCCTGTTAATAATTACTCGGCTTCCTTGAAGTCGTGATATTGGAGTGGCTGTTTTAAGGGCGAGGTACGTCGAACATAACGACTGTTTTATTTAATTCTAAATATAAATTGAATCGATGAGTTAATTAAAAACAAGGTTCCGCATAATGGCAGTCTCAATTAGCTGAGTCGAGATGTTGCTTCGGTTTGACCCAACCGATGGGGAATCCCCATTACTACAACTGCATCAATCGGGTCATAAGTAGATTGAAATGAAGACTTTTAGACAAGATTAAGCCATGTTTTAGTTACCAATAATATACGAAAATTCGGAACGTGACGGTCTACTAAAACGCATTGTGAATTATTCATAGCCCAGATATGAACATGAAGGCATTTTCAACGTCTTAATCAAATTATCACTGTCATTTGCAACAAACTGCTCGAAATTTAATTCCGATTAAAATGATGCAATTTCTGCTGTTTTTTTATTAAAATTTCTGGTTAGGAAAGTAGTTATGTCAAGTTTTTGTTTTCCGTTCATTTACTTTGTTAATTTTTCCACAAAAATAAAAGTTYTAAGGAAGTTTGTTATCAGTAAAGTTGTTTAACACTCAAGGACTACAAGTACTATAAACTTGGTGACAAATTTTAAAAAATCAATAATGAGTCAAAAATTAAACCCACTAATCGCATCAAATATCTTCTTTGTTGTGACTAATGTGTAAATATTATTCTGTGTCAATAATTTATTAAAAATTGTCTAGTCACGTAGATAATCTAGTTTGAGTAGGAAAAATTAAAAACTGGAAGGTAGACAAGAATCTTAGTTTGTTTTTATCAAGAAATTTAACTGCTCGTTTAACATTGAACCATTCATTAGCCTTCTCTGATTGGGCGTGGAAAATAGTTGACTTATGAAAATTTTAATACAGACTGGTCCAGWAGTCTGGAAACGATTTTTGTCTGCCAAAACTATCAATTTTTTGGCAAATAAATTTTTAGCCATTAAATGCTATTTAAAAAAAATTGAATATTAATTAATTGTTTATACTTACGAGATAAACATAGTAACAATTTTTTTTCTAGACAACGAACTTGTTATAAGAATTGTTGCTGTGCAAAAATTTTTTTTGTAAATCTAAAAATTTTTGTTAAAAAAATTTTTGACTTACAAGTTTTTTGTAAACTACCAGTTTTTTCGAAAATAAATTAATAAATGTTTAAAGGTTGTAAAGGAGTGATGTCAAAATATTTTTTATTTTAATTAATTGTTTAAACTTTTGAGATTACCYAACTCATAATTTTATCTTAAATAAAAACGGTTTTATATTTTTTTGCGAWGATATGTTTATGCATTTTATAAATGTACACCCACTACTCTGTCTTAACGGTCTTAACCTCTTGGCCGATGGAACAACAAATAAAGTTTATAATTTTTTTAACATAAATTGTAGCATTTTCAATAAATATTTTTGTAAATTTGTAAATTGCAT